CTACAATACGTTGTGAGTATAAATCTTCAGACTAGTGGAGCCAGATATCTTTTTATCTAGTAGCTAAATCGGCAAGTTTAAGATTGATAATTTTGGACGCTTTGTGGGCACTCTGTGGGCACAGTATATAAGAATTCACTTTCGAGAGAAAGGAGTTCTTATAAAAATCCCATGGGTTTCTAACCAAGTCGTTCCTGCTCTATTCTTAAGCAAAGCTTACACCCATACCCATCTTTTAATATTAAAGGTTTATTTCATATTTTAAAGCTTTGCACCAATCAAAACTCAAATATTTTCTCAACCCGAAACATTGTTCAAGAAGTTCATGAAAAGTCTCTGATTCTCAGTAAGTCCAGTCCCTGTGGAAACGATCTTGGTACTATACCACTTTATTACTTGAAGCGATCTTAGTGTCGGCGTGCACTTGCACCGCCACTTTGGGGATTTTATGCCCACTGTGTGCACACTTACGATTTTAGCACATCAGCCTCTATGCCAAATTCATGTGTTATGCAATAAGAATTCTAACAACAACTATGAATGTAGGTAAGTTTGCTAAACCAAACCAAATCAAGCAAGGCGTAGTATATCACATCAGGAGTTGCGGTTTTGTTGTGGGATGCACACATGTCATCTACTCAAAAAGGTAGGCAGATTGTTTTCATGAAGTTAATGACTAACCAGTTGTTTATTAGAGGGTTACCGAGTGAGATGGCAAGCTTACCCGATAAAGGTTTACCGGGTAAAAGACTATTATCAACGATCCATGTTGAAGCAGAGAATCATACCCGTAATTTGTTCTAGGCACCAAGAATCGGTTTTAGTCAATGATCCATAAGAAAACAACTCATGATTTAGAATTAGAACTTATTAAGACATAACAAACAATTCAAATCATCCATTTTCAATTTGATCAAAGACTTTTCCACCAGAATTGAAACAAGTAGGAGCTAATTTGCTCTAGAAAGAGCTTGCGGCCATTGAAGAAAAGCTTCAAAAACTGGGTCTCAATAATCACAATCGATCATAAAATCAATTGTAATCTGGTCAACATAAGTGAACGACGGCTGAATTATATTCTCACAATGAATGGATCTGTTAATGCTTCTTCTTCAAATCCATAATCGAACCATTGACTGGCGGAAGTGGTGTATACAATTCTTAATTCACCAGTTTTTAACAAATTATAACAAGAGATAGAGCTCAAATAAACAGATAGATGAAACTTGGTGGACTTACCTTGGTTTATGATCTTATGAAATGGAGAATAGGGATGGTGATTTGCGCCGACCCGGTGGGGAATCCGGTTCACCCGACCCAAACGGGGATTTCCCGCTACGGGTCTCAGGGCCGGGAATTCTCGGTAGAATCAAACTAAATGATACTATTTATGTGGTTTGACCGGGGTTTTACCGGATTTTGACCGGTGATTGCTAGAGATTTGACCAAGGACGGGATGATAATCCCCGTACCCGCCGGGGACCAGGGCCAGGGGACGTTACTACAAACCGGGGGCGGGTTTTCCTCGCCCTGTTTCCATGCCTAATGGAGAAACCCTATCCGAGAACAATGGAAGAATTTAGATTAGAACTTGTGATGGTGGCGATTGGCATTGGTTCTTCAGATGCCTCCGCAAATTTTGCAGGTGGAAAACATTAAAAGAAAGATCCAAGCTTATGTAAACCGTCTTTGTATGGTTGGAATAAAAAAAATAAACTAAATAATATCTATACTAGATTATAAATCATTTGATAAAAACTCTTAAAAATCATCTTTTATGCATGAAGTACTGCTTATTGATACATATTGCTTAAAATTCAAGATTACAAGTAAACTATACGTAAGTACAACTTATTAAGCTCGATGTTTGAATTCATGTAAGTAACTGTAGATAAATATAATCAAATACATGATAAAATTCTTATTTTAAATATAAAATCTAAAATATAATTAGGATAATTATCGAATTCTAATAAAATACCGAGTTATTATTTTTATAAAAATTATATTATTAAACCAAAAAATAAATTATTCTTATTTTAAATATAAAATCTAAAATATAATTAGGATAATTATCGAATTCTAATAAAATACCGWGTTATTATTTTTATAAAAATTATATTATTAAACCAAAAAATAAATTATTCGTCATGAAACCTAAATTAAATTATAATAAAAGAATTAAATTTAAAGAAATTATACAAAAAAATGAGAACTTTTATATATATTTTTTAATTTTTATGATATCTTCAAAWKTATATTTTATYAAGAAAAAMATTATTGATTGCTCAAAACCACATAAATTCATATTATAACATCGATAGAGACAAAAAATAAAATAAAATGAAACATTGAGATCGAGATATGTCTCGTTATATTGCACAAGTACCCTTCTAGTAATATATAATTAGACACCTAAAGAAGACAAAAGTGGCTAAAACAAGTAAATTATCCATATATATATATATATATATATGGTATATTTCTTTTACAACCTTGTGTATTTGTACAAAGTTTTATATTGAACTACAAATAACATTGTTAAACCTTAAGGATATAAAAAAATATAAGTTTATAATTATATTAATTATTTAATTATAGTTTTTAATATTTTAAAAAGAAAAATATAAGAATTACAAGACACCACTTCTTATTATTTTTACTTTTCCGATTCTATTTTATTTCTCATTTATTATCATGAATTATTTTACTTAATAAATATATAAATTACGAACCAGAGATCGATCTATCGCTATGAATCTTGATCCATCTCACAACAATACGAACCACTCTCTTCACAACAGAGATTGATCGATCTCACAACAGAGGACCGCCTGTGAATCTCGATCCGTCTCACAACAAATACGAACCACTCTCTTCACAACGGAGATCGATCTTCACCGTATTTTGAGGTTAGTGATTCAATTTCTGCAAGTTTGTTTTTTCTTTCAAGCGACAATCTTATGATTGTTGTCGATTTTTTTTGCATAATAGCCACACCATCAGTATATATGTGTGCTTGTCTTGGTTCATCTGCAATAAAACCTAAAAGGCTAAAATTATGTATATACTTAGGGCCGGCCCTGGTCAATAGGCCCAACAGGCCACGGCCCAGGACAGAAAAAGCCCAAGGAATCCATTTTTATGAAGCCCAACATATATATATTAAAAAAAATTACCGTAACCAGTTTACAACTACAATCGGCCTCGCTCTCTCTTTCGTCCTCCACTCTCTCGCCTTGCTCAGTCGCTTGCCGGCTGCCGCACGATTGCACGAACAGATTGACGATTGAAATCTCAAATCACCGTTCACCACCGTCGATCGAATTCTGAAATCACCACACACCACTGTCGATTGACGATTCTAGAGACTAGAAGTACCGAGTACGAGCTGTTGTCTGTTGATTGAAATCACCAGTTCACTTCACCACTGTTGGCACTCGGCAGTCAGCAGTCGGCTCTCGAGTCTCGCCTCTCGCTCTCGCTCTCTCGACTCTCGACCGCTCAAAATCTGATTGATGACTTGTGACTTGTGAGGTTAGGGTTATATACTTTACTTATTTTATGTTTCTAATTCTTGTTTGATTAATTTATAATCTAGATGAAGGTGCCCTCCATTACTCCATACTTAGGTTTTCTTTTAAGCTTTAAAAGTTTAAAGATTACTGTATGTATCATGTATGCCTAATTGCCTAATGCCTACTTAGGTTTTCTGTAAATAACATTACAATGGGACTTGTGACTCTTTCTGGGGCTGTTTCGTTTTGCAATTTCTAAGTAAAATCCATGAAATGAGTCTGGTTACTTCTGTTTGCAGACATTGCTGTGTGTCAAACAGTCAAAGCTTCTGCTGCCATTTGTTAATTGTTGGGGGTTGGCCTAAAGATGTCTATAAGAGTATAAGACTAATAGACCATAAACCTCTTCTTCCTTCCATAAAAAACAACCATTTCTTGTTAGGTTGGTGGCCCAAATTCCTGATTTCTTGTTCACTATATCCTCTAAAGACTTGAAAATGTGAATAGAATTTCCATTCCTTTCCATTTGCTCAAGCCTTAAAATTTTTAGTTTTTAGGGCTGTTTAGAAGTTTTTTAGGAGCTGTTTTGAAGCGGGTTAGTATAGGACAAAGGCTTAAGATTGATGCTTATGTTTTCTTCTTCTTTATCAATTTGTCCATGTTGCTTAATCGTTCCACTTTCTTGGCAATTTCACAACACGAACCACGAATGGTGATGTATTTTATATTTTGTTACACGGGGTTTTGGTTTATGTCCCCCCTGTTGCATCATTTTTGTTATATTTAAAATAAATCGGCGTGGGGATGAGCCTCCTAGATTGACTAGGTTCCAAAACTCCCTTCAAATAGTTTATTTTGGTTTTTATTTACACATATAAGGGACATTTTTTTGACTTTCCGCCATGGTCATCCAAAATCTCAGGACCGGCTCTGTATGTACTGTGTTGTCAGTTATGGGATGTCAAGTTATGTTAAATCGTGTAAGAATTGCTGCCAAATGGTTTCGTATTGAAGTAGATCAAGAGAAAAGGAATTGATTGATATTTTTTTTCTAGAAACTAGCATAAAGGGGCACCCTTTCTTTAGATTGGTCTTGAAATCGTATATTGAATTGGTATGAAGTTCAAAATTGGTCAATTCTTGTATGGGGGCTACATTCACAGCAGTTTAATCGCCGCAAATTAAAGGGAAGTTCAATCCCGCCCGAGCTGCACCGCTTAATTTTCGATTTGGTCATAATCGGGGTGCGGTACCCTCCGGCCTCCGCTTAGGCCTAGGGGGCTGGTTATTCTGAATTCTAGGTTATATTTGCGGTAATTGTTTTTGGTGTTGTTTATTTTCGTATCTAATGATCTTATACAATTTTCTTACTTTCTTGGGTGCATTAATTTACAGGCTCTTTGTCGTTGAATCGTGGTGAACATTGCTTTGTGGAAAAGCTACAACAGATTGCTCGAAAAGGAGGCCGCTTTTCACTTGCAGTGCTCTGGTGATCAGTTGGAATCTAGGGTTCAGTTGATCACCAATAGTTGTTTGTCTTCGGTCGATATCATAGGCTAGGGTTTGTTCCTGAAAATTATATTTTATGAATAATATAGAAGAAGCCTAATTTGGATAGGGTTTTGCTAGCATCTGATAATCAGCTGTTGAAAACCTTTTTTTTTTCTTTTTTTTTTGTTCCCTTTCTGTTTGTAGCGTTGGGCTCAATTATTATGTCCTGGGACATACTGTACCATTAAGGATGATTTATTGTGACGTTTTGTTTATTTGTTTTCTTATTTCTTATATGTTCCTGGTTTTTTGATGAAAATCTAGGGGAGAATTCAAGTAGTTCTCTAAAATTTTGTTCATATCAGACTCAACTTCTTTGAGAAAATTTTCAAATTTTTACCAAGATATGGGTAGCCAAGGCTTCAATAGTCAGAAAAATGGGCAAAGATTGGGTATCACGGAGCCTATATCGTTGGGGGGTCCAAGCGAGTATGATGTGATCAAGACCAATGAACTGGAAAAGGTTTTGTGCTACTTTCACATTCAACTGTTGTTAGCAAACTGTTAGATTAACAAGTACTCAGATATTTGTTTTTTTTCCCTTTGCTTAGTTTTTGGCTGATGCTGGACTGTATGAGAGTCATGAAGAGGCCATAAGCAGGGAAGAGGTTTTGGGACGGCTGGACCAGGTTGAATTATATTTCTAATTTGGATTTTCTGGTTTGATGATTATCGTTGTATGTTTTATTGTTTCTGTGATGTTGCTAAATTGAGCAGATTGTAAAAGTCTGGGTGAAAAAGGTAAGCCGGGCGAGGGGGTTAAATGAACAGCTTGTGCAGGAGGCCAATGCCAAAATTTTCACCTTCGGATCCTATCGTCTTGGGGTATGAGGATTATTCTTGATATATTTCTTTTTCTTTTTGGTGAAAGTAGTGGTTCTCATGTGCAGTTACTTATTATTTAGTGCTTATACTGTTTTCTTAATAACACCTGTTGTTAGTTTTTCTTGTGTCTGATACGCTTATGCAGCAAATAAAATTAATAATAAGCAGTTTTACTCCTTAGGTTTTGGCAGTTGTTATGACCATTAGTTTCTGGTGTTGCAAAATTTGTGATAATGTTGCTGCATTTGACTTGAGTGTATACCAAGAATGCTTATACCATCTTTTGGAAGAGAGAATGATGGTTGCTATTGCCTTTTAGAGTTTCTCTAAAGTTTTCCCCTAACCAAGAAATGATGAAGAAGTTAGATAGTGTCATGCAAGCTAACTAGTTTTGTTTACATAAAACAATCAGTGACGCGCTTCTTATTATAAATCAAGTGTTGGTGATTATTTTCTTTCTAGTTACTGTTATTTCCTATCGTAACTTGTGTAGGGAAATGTTTCTGACATTGAGTTTTGTTTTTTCACTGGGTGCTTGTTCTAAGTCCTATCTGGGTGATTGATCATATGGTTATGCAAAATTTGTGTTTTGACTTTCTTCAGGTTATGTGCCCTATCTTTTGAGGCGATTTCTTGAGGCTTTTTATCTCAAGCTAATTTAGGCAGTTAAAAATGAGATCAATCCTGGTATAACCATGGTTTTCAAAATCGTTTGAGGCGTACGCCTCCAAAACCGCTCATGAGGCGGTGTAACGCCCCAGAATTTCTAAAACAATAAATCGGGTGCCGTTACATTAAAATTAAAACTACCAAGTCTTGAATATGAACTTGAAAGTTAACTTTATATATAACATAGCTTACAATTACGTTGAAGATGAAATACTGGCGGAAATGTAACTCAATAGCTTATAATACAATATAACTTGCTATTGATTAGTAAAATACTACTTCATGCAAATATTCTTCACTTTTTTCCTGAGATACATACATGAGATATATAAGCTGAAAAGCTTAGTGAGTAGTTATGGTTTCATGAATAAACAATTTTCATGATGCTTAACATTTTGTGAATAGTAATTCACTGAAACCGTTGATCATGCACAAAATAATCTTTTTATCATATGCATAAACATTCTTTTGAGATTTCACTTGGAACATGTAAGTATGCCATACTTGTCTTGAGGTTTGCTAACCCCCGGGTCCATAAAAGGCTCCCCTATAAGGTCCGTTTGCAAGTCATCCCTTCTTGTAATATTCTGTATGTTGGATATTTATGGTCATACATAACATGTAAAAACTTTCATGCCTTGTGTAACACATAGCATGTAAACATTTTCATGCCTTGGTGTAAAACACATACTTGTATCACAACATGTCATGCATATCTTGTATAACATTTCCATGTAAAGCAAACATGCCAAAAAATCTTGTAATGCATAAAATACTTTTATGTAGCATGTATGTACCTCATAAATCTCATAAGTACTCACTTTGATTATGCCTAGCTTTTCCTTAATTCCTTTCTTCAAGCTTGATTAACATAAAGAGAGAGATTTTCTTGTTTTTTTGCTATGGAACTAATGGTAACACTTCAACCACTATTTATAGGTGAATTCATTGCATCAACTACTTGTTCTTTTTGCTCTCAGACATGTACTCTTATGGGAGTTTTACACCTCCTACTTGAGGATAAGAGAATCTTAACACCTCATGCTTCTAGGAAGAGAATCCTGACACCTCATGCTTCTAGTATTTCTTTGTCATGCTTCTTAGACTTGCCTTGTAATCAAATAGTCTTGCCAACTTATGCTTTTAGCCTTTACAACTCATTATTAGCTTGCTTAGTCATGCTTACTAGTCTTGCTTAATCATCACATAGCTTRCCAACACWCTTCTAGCTTTTACATCTCATCCCCTTAGGCTTGATTTCTCAATCTTTTCCTTGTAAGCTACTTGCCTTATAAATGTGAGAGATTAATAAATGCTACAGCTGTTGGCAGCTTTTTAGAGTACTTAAATTACTCATAATATGTGTATTTAAGGCATAAAACATTTAATTTAACCGATATGAGGCTTAAGCCTCAATTGGTGAGGCAGTGCCTTGAGGCGTTGAGGCGTGAGTCGTTTCTGAGGCGCATGCCTCCTAAACCCTATTTTTTCCTTCTCCATTTCTGACTTTTTCCTCTCTCAAGAAGATATTTATCTCAAAGGCCAACCCAAAATGTAAGTTCTTTTTAGTTTGTGTCCATATTTTTAGTTTATGTATAATATATTATATTATATATATATTTAGTCAAGTATATATGTTCTATATCATGTATAATGTATTTTCTATATGTATAATGTATTTTCTATATTATATTCAGTTTTCTGTATAATTTTTCTGTTTTTTGTGGATTTGAAAGATGAAAGTGTTAGTGATTATGGATACAATTGTGGAGCTATACAACTTGATCATGCTAGGGGAACTATAAGTTGTAGAATGATATGTTTTTAGACTTATAACTACTATTTTATGAATCTATGAGTTTAAAGTTTGGTATGGAATTATTTTTGCTTACTATTAATATTTATGAATTTTATTTGTTTTACGCCTTGAGGCTTGCGCCTCGGACCGCCTTGAGGCTACGCCCCAGGGCGTGCAAGGCAAACGCCTCGAGTCCCGATTCCGCTTTTTAAAACCTTGGGTAGAATTGGCATATTTATGGCCAACCGATTTGATCTTTTCCACATACTCAAATCTCTTCCATTACTACCATGATAAATCGTGGTTGGTCTCTACTTCCAATGATTCTCACCTTCTCGGTGTAAGTTTTCTCTCTTAATTGCTGCATCCGCATGTGCCTATTGTAGATGCCTAAATCATCTCATGTAATGTTGCACTTTGTTGCCGTTTGTCCCCCTCAACATATTTTGCCATGCATCTTCTGTTTTTTTTTGGCAAACATTTTGTCTTAGGCATCACATTTGTTTTAATGAACTTGCCTTTTAACAGAACATCCCAAACACAAGCATCTAGAAGCCAATCTAGCATTTAATCCTCCCGGTTCTGTCCTATAACTAACATTCTCAATGATCTTCCAATCTATTGGTAAAATTCAAATATAATCTTTCTGAACACTTTTTATGGGGAAATACTTATCACGTTTTCCATTATCCATTTATCCTATCAACATTGTCAAAGTTTATTTTGCTTCTGTTTTGCCTAATGTAGATTCTATGTTGTTTCTCCATACCTTCAAAATTTGCATTAATCTCGGGGTAGTCTTGTCATCCAAAACACTAGATTCATCGGCAAAAGCGTACATCTTTGTATGTTCTTTTGGAGCTTGTCTGGAGCTGAAACAAAAGGATGACTACTTGACGCTCTTCATTAGTCTGAGCATACGGTAATCATAGTTGTGAAAAGGGCGAGCTGAGGCGCATAAGGCGCAAAGGACTGGGCTTTTTCCATGTTAAGGCGAGGAAAGATACCGAGGCGCACCAAGGCGCAGCGCCTTGGCTGAGGCGCAAAATGGGCTTAGGCGCACCTTATACAGATCTGCTCTAAATTCAAATAATTTTCTTTTCTCTTAGACTTCTACAAAAAAATGTTATTAAATAAGACAAAACCTAATATTAATTATGTCTTCTAACCTCCTAAGACTTCTAGAAAAAAGAGTTATTAGATAAGTTATTCAATTTTCTATTCAATTCTAATCAGTCATCTCCTAAAAATACCTCCCATGCATTGTACTCTACCTCACGACTTTAAACCTTATACTTCTTCCTCACAGCTCTCTTCTAGAATCTGGATTTCTGGTTGCTGCTTTGGAGGCTTAAACCTTATTGAGATATGTTTGATATTACTACCTTTTGGAAATTGAAATTGAACTATGTTTTATATAATGGTATTTGAGTTGATATTACTACTTTCTATATAATGGTATTTGAGTTGTGTATTACTATGTGTGTGTGTGTATATATATTATTTTTTCATACGATGTGCCTCGCATTCATGAGGCCCACACCTCGCGCCTGGACCTCGCGACTTGTCCCCTGGACCCCTTTGCGCCTAAGTGTGCCTTGCACCTTTAACAACTTTGACAGTAATAGGAAAGACATTTGTATGCTATTGTGCTTGTTGCTACAACATGACACGTACTTTTGTTTCTTTTGCTTGGATTTCCTTTTTTCAAAAGACAACCACATTACTCTTGTTGGCACTTCTTCTCTAAGTCGATAAACACCAAAAAACTACCATTATTTAAAGCAAACCTCTTCATTTATTGATGCGACATTCTCTCTGTCTGAAGATAACAAATAAAAACATGGTGAATGATATATGGTTTTAAAAAGCAGATGAGGCGCACCCGTACGTCTTGGTGGTTTGAGGCGTACGCCTCTCTACAAAGGCTAAGTTATTAAAAAAATGACCGAAACCATCTCGAGTTCTTGTTTGAAAACCTTTGTGAGTTCTTCTTTTGGTTCTCCTAAGCCCTTGCTATTCATCTATTGCCCTTACTTCTTGGGTTCCATTTTTCTCCCATTTTCTTCTTCGATTCTTCTCTAGTTCACCATAGTATCACATGTATGTATATACACTTCTTTTATATTTAGTCTCTAAGGGTCCCTTCAAATCTTCCACGTGTCAATGTCATAATGCCACTTCTACTCCCACTTTTACTCCTACTTTGTTGATATATACATATATATTATATTAATAAATCAACATATCTTTCTTTTGTTACTATATCTATATTTCGTGATTGAAAAAAGTGTATATAGATTCTTTTTGTAATTTAGTATGATATATATGTTTTGTGTCTAGTACTCCAGTGTGTGTGTGTGTGTATTGCATATTTTTGTGTGTATAATGTGGCAGTGGAATGTAGATTTGTATATATATTGTATATAAGGAGTATATATTTGTGTAGTGTATATATATATATATGTATATTTCCGCCTCGGGGATTACGCCTCGACGTCCAATTCCACTTTTTAAAACCATGGAATGGTACTTTGGTTACCTCCTTTAGGGTTCTCCAAACCTTTTGCAAGAGATATTGATGCCCTTAAGGTTTTTGTGCGTTCATCCTTTGTAGAGAGATTCCTTCATGTTAAACACAAATGCAAATCTTCTATTGGTATCTTTAGAAAAGCTATCGAGTTCTCTTATCACTTGTCACAATACTATTTTGTTTGACGACTTACTAAAATAACCCCTTTGTTGCTTGTAACATCATAGTACTTGATAAAAAATTCTTGCATCTCATCCTTGATGCCGTTGATGTAACTTAGATCTCTAGCTTTAATTTTACTTAGCTTAGCAACCTTATTTTACATGAATTTCTTCTATTTGGCACTTAGTTTATCTTAATGGTTTAGCTTTTGGCGCTTCTTATTGCTTGCTCAGTTTCTCTTTAGGCTAGTTTGTTGTTTTCTGTACTCTTGTCAAGTGTTTGGGACAATTAAGTTAACTCGCAAGTGTACGAGGTAAAAGATCAAATTTGAAAAAGTCTTTCTCACTATTTAGAACAGTGGAGCTTTCAGATCGAACCAGTATTGCTATCCGAGCTCTCTTATTGAATTTCTCGTTCAATGAGCATTCTCGATATAATGCCAAGTAATATAGATTAGTAAATTCGAGTATCACGGGGATTGCTCTACTCTCTTAATTGTAAAAGTTTAGTAAATAGCACCAAAATTAACAGTTTAATAATTGTGTTGGGTGATTAACAAACTACTTTACTTAAGTAGTTTCTAACTAAAACGAAGCTTAAAGCTGAACCACGAAATCATTTGTTAACTGCAAATAAACCAAGTCACTTAAATTTCAAAGTTCAACACACACACAACTTACATGAGTGATACTAGGAATTAGATCTGTTTAAACAAATGAGATTTGGTTGAAAGAGGGGCTCCTAATTTATTTCATTAGTTTTGTTGAATCCACACTAAAAATGTACATATTTAGCTGACACACCCCTCTAATACCAACAATCTCTCGAACTTGTTGAACTCACCAACTAATACTCGTATTCTTGTGGTGTGTGTGTGCACTAATTAGTGGATAAAGCACAATGTAAACAAAAGATGCAAGAACTAATATATTCCTATATTAGCTTCTATGTTTTGTCTCTGTATCACACCTTTCATTTCATTTTGACCAGACACCCTAGATCGATCCTTCCACTCATTATTCTAAGATGATAAGTTATAAAAAAAGTAAAAAAGTTGTCATTCAAAAGACCAAGTATAAGTACAACTCAATAATGAACTAAACCTGTATATTCCTAAGAATTCCATACAACAAAACAAAGTCTCCCGTTCAATCAATCCTCCAGTTGAATCACTCACTCTTGTTGGTAACAAAATAGCATAATGGGCTCAACTTCATATTCACTGTTCAAGATTTTCAACAAGAAAATCCAATTACAAACCTAACAAGAAATATGCTCAAATTACTTAAAAAGAGAATTCCCTGAATAATGTGTAGGGGGTTGCAATCAGATTTTGTAGGTCCTCGTCTTTATCTAGTTCAGCTCTTCAAAAATGCTTTCGATGAAGAACTTGACGATGTCTCATGAAGAAGCAGAAGGATGCCTCTCCTTGTCAGTCTTTTTGGCTGGTAAAAAGATGATGAACCAATAATCAAAGTCGTCTGCTTTTTCTCCTCTATTTTTTCCAGTAGTCTAAAAAATAAGGATGAATTCTCTCCCAAAGCAAAACTCGGTTTTTTTTTTCCTTCTCAAGATACACAATTTTTTAAATAAGAAGTGATCCATAAATCTGATGATGAGATTTGCTTCCATATTTAGCCCTACTTTTTTGCTTTTGTGTACTTGTATCCAAAAATGGGTTTTTTTCTTTTTGCAAACTCCCTGTTCGAATAAATTGTTCCTGCTCCCGAGGCGCCTTCCACGAATGCGCATCCCTCCTATGTTCTACATGGACTATGCAGATTAGATGAAATATCACTGCCTGGTTGGCACGGTCGTGCTGATATCTGCACTGATTTGGCACGTACTGTGCAAGATAAACGGTTTTCTTCTGTCCGATTGGCACAGTACTGTTTATGCCAATCTCTTTACAAATGCAGCATGGACCAGGTGATGCTACTGCTGATGCTTCATGGATTCATCAACACACTTGTATCTGTGTGAGTCTTACCTCTTGAATTCCAACAATTCTTCAATCAACTCCTCTTGTGTTGCATGTGAAGGCGAGGCTTGGAACATCAGAGAGCTCTTTGTAGTTGGGCTCAATATTGGGCTTAGGAGAGGGTAATCTGAGTCTGTTACTAGGGAAAGAATCCATTCACTCCGCTGTGTAAAGAGGACTTCTTTCTATACGTCTGCCAAGACATCCTTTTTTCTTTGTTGTTGGCCTGCCCAGCGGATTTGTTGAACTTTTCAGACACTACATTGTGCTTCATAGGCATTTCCATACTGTAGTACACTAAAGTAGAAATCTGAGGTTGATCTTTTCTTTTCTCCAGAGAACAGAAACATATCTGGTTCCATGTAGTTTGTAATTGAATTTTTTTGGCACTTAATACTAAAAAAAATTGAGTGCCAAAGTAGTCTGATATATGGAAAACCAGACATGGTGATTAAGATCCTTTTACAGAAGTTAACATACAAAAGGATTCCTGTTCCTTATTGACTCGGCTTATTCTTTGAACTTTGGTCTTTCTACCTCGTGTGATTTACTCTATAGAGGATAGGGTTGGGTTCTAATGTAACCTTCTTGCAAGGTGATCTATAACGATGGTATGCCATTTCATGTGCTGCTCCAAACTTGATGAATTTCATCTGTATTTTTGTTATTTAGTTGTGATACAAGTTCTGCAAGTTAATTCTGGCCTCACCTTATCATATTTTTTTGTTTATTGATAGGTGCATGGCCCTGGTGCAGATATCGACACACTGTGTGTTGGACCTAGACATGCAGCACGAGATGTAAGATCTGCTCTATTCTTATTGCTAATCTTGTAATTTTATTGCCCCTGATGAACATCAACTCACTAATGGTTGTATGATTTTTCCACAGGAAGATTTCTTTGGTGAGCTCAAAGGAATGCTCTCCGAGATGCCTGATGTTACGGAATTACATCCTGTGCCTGATGCTCATGTTCCCGTGATGAAATTCAAGTTGAATGGGGTTTCAATAGATCTTCTTTATGCAAAACTTTCACTTTGGGTTATACCTGAAGTAAGTAGGTCAAGCTTTTTTATCGTCTATCTTTGATCTCTAAATGTAACTGAAAAGCAGTTGGTATAAACCCAAACAGAATGATTCATCCTTATGGCTTGCAACCAGAAGCATCTGTGTAACATGCCACCAACTAGATTTTAAATGTATACACAAAATTATTTATTGCTTGGACTTGTATAAGGAAGAATACCCATACTTCCCAAGGCATGAGTTGGATGTATTGCTGCAATAGAGGTTACTGGCAGTGTTTTAAACTGATATCTGAGCACACATAAAATATTGTTAAGAGCTAGAGGTAATACCCATGCTTTCCCCACAATTTTGACTTGCCTGAGTGAGTAACTGGATTCTATCGGCAGTCCTTTGATCCAACTTCAAGCATTTAGGAAAGAGAAACCAACAAAAACTGCAGCTTTTTCTGGAGATGGTTGCTGTAACATCTGCTGAAGTCGTGCAATACAGTTGGATGTGGGTGAATAATAAATGTGTATATTTGTATCAGATATTGAGCAATTGAAGCAGGCCAAACTGGCCAAGGACTAGTTTTACTTTTGCTCTTGGTGAAGGTGCTGGCATCTTGTGCTATGTTACCTAGGGTGTAAACATCTAACTGTCAACCCTGTGCAATGCATTGTCCTTAAAGCCATTCAGCCTGCAGACACAGGGTGGAGCCAATATTGTAGACATTATGAAATTACGTTTCAGGCACCAAGCAAGCAACCGTCTTGAAACATAGGCTGTGTGGACCATGGAATATATTAAAGATATGTGATGATATAGCATAGAAATGTGAACATCTTGGTTGCTAATGAGTTATATATTGCAGGATTTGGATATTTCTCAAGACTCAATACTGCAAAATGCAGATGAGCAGTCAGTTCGGAGTCTTAATGGATGTAGAGTTACTGACCGGATCCTGCGTTTAGTGCCTAATATTCAGGTATTGCCAATTGCTTCTTTGTTTCTATTTGATTTTGTGTATTTTAATAGTTGCTAAATCAACTTAGGTACCATAGTTAGCCTGGCAGATAAGTAGTTTTAGGGCATCATTTGGTTTTGTGCTATTTCATTTATGTGATGTCTGCTACTTCTATATGTGCATTTCGTTGTTAGTTGATTCTGTATTGTTTTTCCTGTTGTAGAATTTCCGCACAACATTAAGATGCATGAGGTTTTGGGCCAAGCGACGTGGCGTTTATTCAAATGTATGTCCAGGTTTTTCATAATCAAGATTCCATGTTTGATCGCTAAATAGGATTTGGTAGTTCAATGCATCTCCTTTTTTTTTTGTCAGGTTGCAGGATTTCTAGGTGGCATAAACTGGGCTTTGCTTGTTGCACGGATCTGCCAACTGTATCCTAATGCTCTGCCCAATATGCTAGTTTCTCGATTCTTCAGGGTCTACACTCAGTGGCGATGGCCAAATCCAGTAATGCTCTGTGCTATCGAGGAAGGATCACTTGGATTGCAGATTTGGGACCCAAGAAGAAACCATAAGGACAAATACCACTTAATGCCTATTATTACTCCAGCTTATCCTAGCATGAACTCTAGCTACAATGTCTCATCAAGTACTTTACGAATAATGACTGAAGAGTTTAAGAGAGGTCATGATATTTGTGAGGTACGATCATTCAATTAAACTTATGTGTATCTTCTGATTTTGAGCAAAACAAGGCCCTCGTCTATTAGGATAAAGTATAGCTAGAACTATTTTTACAATTATTGATATATGCATAGCGTAATGTTTGCTGCCTGCTCTCTTTGCTAGTGACTGTACTTTTCATGACCCCAGAACCATGGGCTTCTTCAAGTGCATTCCTTTCCATTTTACCTCTTTTGTAATTGTACTTTCTAATATTTGTGTCTGATATTTTTTTATTGTGTTTTATCCATAATCAACTGAATTTGAATTTGGTGATCAAGGAGTGAAACCCTGAAAGTAAAAAAAGGTTCTTTAAACTTCATATACTTTCACATTTGGATTTTCGATCTTTACTAGCAGGTTATTATGATTGATGTTGTGCATGCTCCCTCTCAATGTGTGAATTGGTGAATTATTTTGCGCTTCTCTTCTAACAAGTATGTGAAGTCACTTTGATAGTTGAGAACTGGGCAGTGTGTTAGTGGAACATCAATCTGGCCTTTGTAGCAAATCATTCTGTATGTGTACCTCCCGACAACAAAGCCTGAAAGTTTCTTGTCCCCATGAGCCCCCGGCCCACATAAAAAGGGATCAGACAAAGAGTAGTGTTAATGTTGATGATCAGATCACATCCAAGTTTGATACTTGACAGATTACTTGGTCTACTTTGTGATGGATTTCTCTTGTAATTATTTTTTTCTCGTGCAGGCTATGGAGTTAAATAATGGTAGTTGGCTTGAACTTTTTGAGCCCTATCGTTTTTTTGAAGCATACAGGAATTATCTGCAGATAGATATAGCTGCAGAGAATGATGATGATATGAGAAACTGGAAAGGCTGGGTGGAATCTCGCTTGCGCTACCTTATTCTGAAGGTGATGCATTACATTTTTAGTTTTATTCTGGTGTTGCTTTTGGAGCATTTTCTTGTCCATTTCTAACTTCTTTTGCATCTGCGAATCTAGATTGAGAGAGATACCTTCAAAATGCTGCAGTGCCACCCACATCCACGGGACTTTTCAGACAATTCAGATCCCTTCCACTGCAGTTACTTCTTAGGTCTTCAACGAAAAGAGGGTGTTCCCGTCAATGAAGCCAAGAAGTTTGATATACGATTGACAGTTGATGAATTTAAAGCCAATGTTGGTTCATATTCATCATGGAAGCATGGAATGGAGATAAATGTAACCCATATTAGGCGTAGGGACATTCCTGCTTTTGTTTTTCCTGGTGGTATCCGGCCTTCTCGACCCGCCAGAGTGAGTGGAGAGGGGAGGCGGGTCCCAGAAACAAGCGCTACTAGCAGTGTGGATGCCGGAAGTTCGGTTGATGGTAATGTCGTTGATACATCAGATGATGTGAGGAAGCGAAAGCGGGAGGAGGATGAGATGCACGCTAAGGTTACAGCTGCTAAGCTTGTGATTAATGAAGGCCCATCAAACAAAGAATTCAGTGTGGCTGGTCCTTCTGTTGGTACTGTTACTGTTACTTCTTTGCTAGGAAACTCTAAAGACACTAACATGAGTGGAGATGTCTGGAGACAAATGATCCAAAGTCATGTAACTGATCAAGTAGGAACATCTGGAGTTCAAACTGAGCTTCTGTACCAGAACAATGCAGATATCAATGGTCCATTAAACTCTAGAGAAGCAGAGAAGCTCGCAATTGAGAAGTTAATGTCTGGTCCATATGAATCCCATCAGACTTCCCCACAAGAACTTGAGGAGCTAGAAGAACTTGATAATAATAGTCAAAATAAAATTTTGGGTGGGACTGCAATAGGAAATGACATGGAATCTTCAGCCACTAAAGAAGTAGCTAGTTCGATGACAATTAGCAATACAACAGGTGCCTCTTCCAGTTTGCAGTTGAATGGGAACTTAGAAGAGCTTGAGGTTAGTTCAAATAATTTATTCTCATTGCATGTAAATCTGCTTTTTCTTGAAGTGTTGTTTGTATATCTCAAACAGCACTATCCAGATACCTTTGTATGATCTCTAATTTGTGCATCCTATCTTGAAACATCAATCATTCTAACTCTCTTTGCTATCTTCTGCACCTTGCTCTGTTGAAAATCTGCAAGAAATTGATAAAATAATTACATCCAAGTATATGGGTAAGGGAAAACGAATTTCAAATAGCATGTTCATATGTACAGAAAGAAACTGTATGTTACTGATTTATTGGAGTCAGTTGCAAAGTAGTTGATTTTTTAGATGAACAAGACTGATAGAATTTATGAGGGAGGTCGAGAGAGATGAGACTTACATATATAATGGAAGTTATAATTGTACAATCATACAGTATGTTAATATGTTATACATACATCTGATAGCATCAATATCGTTCTAGGCTCTTATCTTCTTGAGGAGCTAATAAGAAGTAACTCTCATTTGTCTTCTATCCCCTATTTTTTTATTACTTTGAAAGAAGTTGTAGCCTCAATTAATAACAGGCTCTACCTAGTTGTGAATTTCAGTAGAGATTTTGCTTTTCACAGAATGTGCTTCTTGTACGATTTGAATCACAAAGCCGTCAACCCTGCTTTTTGGCTAACCTTGGAAAGGATATTTCTGTTTTCTTCTCCTATGCTCTTCGACCTTGTGTTTCTTTTTCTGTCCACTGAAAAACATGCTTCTAGTACAAAAAGTCACGTGATTTACAATAAAGGGAAGAATGAGATTTCTTTCTTAACATTACTCAGATCTGGAAATTTCTATATTATGTTTTGAGCCAATAGACAGTGGGCTACAAGCTATTCGTACTTGAATGAACTGAAGCATCAATTTACGCAGTTTATGTAAAGCTTCTGTCAATATAGCTTTTCAAATCTAGCATATATGTATCTCTTCTTTTCACACACTTTTCACTAGGAGGTCATAATGGAAAAAGCCACTCTACAGTTTAAGGTAGAAATCAAATTTACATACAAATCACCCCCCCCCCCCCCCCGGGGTGGGGCATGGGATATACTGGGCTGGTTTGGTTTGGTTTGGTTTATGTATATCTTCTGGCACCCTTCCAGGGAGTTCAGCGTAGCACTTGCATGAATTTGGACACACTTTCCAAGGTGAAGGATCGTATGAGGAGAGTTAAGGTGAGAAACATAAGAAAGGATCTGGACCCTTGATCACCTTTAATCTCAAACCAATCCATGAATCTCGCTTGATACGGCGATTGATCTGGTGCATCTCGTCTCGGTGCATCTCACCCTAATGTGCATCCAAGGGTCGAGATCCCTTCATACGCTTCTCATCGGAACCCAATCTCACTTTCCAAATGGTCATGTTTTAATATTTTCATAAATTTTTGTACTGGATCTTTCAGTCTTCTTAGCCATGGTAGACTGGTAGTAAAACAAGTTGCAAAAATTGTTAGTCATTTAAAATGTTTCCATTATGCTTTTTCATCTTGCATATCTTTCTTAGTTACATTACAACTTACAACTGTCCCTATGCTGATGTATTGATATATGCACATATATACATGGTTTATGTAATTTGCCGATGCCTTGTTCTCACAATTTTTTTTGAGCTAGAGATAGCTTGTGTCATCAACACTTTGACAAGCACTATTTATCGTGTTAGGGTCCACAACACTCTCATTTGTGTGCATATGTATATTTCAAATGCCATCTCCCATATGTGTAATACATGATGAATAATTCACATATGCACAATACTTGAGTGACTTTGTTATTGATATTGTTTTCTAGTGTAGTCTTTTTAACATTTGCAAGATTGGTATAACTCTTGACATTTCTTTCATTTCTCAACTTTTCTCTAAAGGCCCCTGAACTTGCTGCACCCTTTCCAATGGCTACTCATGCTACAGCTGCAGCGCAGAAAAAGCCAGTCATCAGGTAATTTTTAGTTTGCTTTTATATAGCCTAAAGAATTTTTTTGATTTTCTTTTCTTATTATCTGATCAACTAAAAGCAACCAACTTATACACTCCCATTGTCCTAAAATAAATGCAACATTTAAATTGAGATGGAGGGAGTAGTATTTTGGGAGCGTTTGACCAATTATCAAAGATAATGACGAATCTTTCCATATTATATATAACTACAGTAGGTGGTTTTGCTTTAGTACTCCATCCTGAAACCGGTAAATAGATCCACTTTTAAGTGCATGACTTTCTGATAAATTTTGCATTCTTGTGTTAGAAAGAAGCATTCCTCTATTAGGCAGGGGCATTCTTAATTCTGTCAAAAGGCCATGCATTTATTGGAAAAAATCTATGAAACGGTTATTCTCCTAAATAACCGGTCCTTATAGGGGGCACAACACAGAATCTAATAAAAAAGTTCGTATATCTATTGGTCATAATCAATCAAGAAAGCAAAAGTAGAGAGGATTAGTTTGATTCTCTAAAAAAAAAAGTCTGATGTTCTTCGTCTTAGTGTGAGTTGTGGTGTAAGCATCTCTAATGGGCAACACCAAATCTTACACCAAAATGTAAGATTCTACATATATAACTTATTTATCTTTTCCTATTGTTGTAAAATTAAAATTTTGGTGTAAACAAATGGTGGTGCACCTAATTTGCTGTCCCATTGTTGTTATTTGATGTCAAATTTGGTGTTCCCATTGGAGATGGTGTTGCTAATCTTCTGTTGTTTACAGGTTCAGTTTTACTTCATTGGCCAAGGATACTGGCAACAGCACTTGAAAGTGGTCTGTGACAAATGGAGTTATACTATGTTGATGATCATGTAATGCCCCGTCCCCTTCTCCCTCCGTTACCAGAGAAACCAAAGATCAACTTTGCGGTTCATTGTATAGTAATGAAATGTTCATCGAAGTAACCCTACATTTCTCTTGTTTAAATTCCAATTTTCAATAAGGTTTTTATGGTATTTGCAGTGCAGGATCACCAAGGAAATTCTTTTGTGTTGGTTCTTACATGTATTTTGCTTCAATGGATTTCCGATCCTTGTTCCAAAATGTACAAGTGATAATAGGGCTGCACAAAAGCAGATAAATATTCAAAAATCCATTGAATACTTCAATTCTTGTTCTAAGGCAAATACGAGATTTGTTTACCTCTTAATAGTTCTATTTGTCTCAAAAAAATATATACAGAACTCGAATTCTCGACTTACCTCCAAAAATAGAAGATAGAAACAAAACAAGGGAATATGACTCGAGAAAAAATGAAGACAAACTAACGGAAATGTGTTATGGAGGAATTCACTAGTCGCTTTGTTCAATTATTGCTATATTTTGTACCAACAAAAGTTGGAATATGATCCAACTTTGGTTCTTTGATAACCATTTATCCAACTAATTAAAATATACACTATATTATAAATAAAGTATTTGACAAAAACTTTTAAAATCCACTTTTTATACATAAAATAATATTTATTAATGCATGTTACTTAAAACTCAAGATTACAGTAGATTGTGTGTAAGTAATTTATTAAAGCTCCATATCTGAATTCATGTAACTAACTGTAGACAAACATAATCAAATACAGGATAAACATCTCATTTTAAATATTAAAAATCTAAAATATAATTAAGATAATTATTAAGTTCTAACATAATCATTATCTTTATAAAAAATTATATTATTAAACCCGAAAAATAAATTACTTCGCTATTAAACATAAATTAAATTATAATAAAAAATTGAATTAAAGAAATTGTACAAAAAATGAGAACTTTTAAATAGTTAATTTGTTATTGATATCGATATATTTTTCAAATTTTTATATCTTCAAAAATAAAAACATGATCTTTATTAAAACTATATAAACCGTACTATATCAATAGAGACAAAAAATAAAATGAAAAAATGAAACATTAAAGTGAAGATGTATTTCGCTGCTTTACACGAGTACCGTTCGAGTTTTAAATAAAATACGATTTTGATTTTGAAATATAAGTCAACAATTTTAAATGTTATCATGAAAATATGTGAAAATAAAGATAAAGAAAAATTATTTGTCACATTTTTCTTTTTAATTATTTGTTATGAAAACATACTTTAACCTGAAAGATTTAGGGACTATTTGGCAGTTGCTAAATGATTTAATGTATAATGATTAAGTGGTCAGAATGATTAAGAGGATATGGTGCAAAATGAAATATAATTGTTTGGTAATTATTTACAACAATAATAATTTACAAATCACGTAAAATAATTTAAAACATATAATAATTTTTTCAATTAAATTGATAGTAGTAATGTTTGCCTTTTCTTTATAGAATTTGGCATTCCATGGATATGGAAATGGAAGCCAATCTTTGGCTATGATCATTATATGATCCCTTGTCTCAAACGTCAAGGACTTTCAAAATATTGGGAGAAATTAGATCGTATGTGTCCAAACTCCTCTTCTCTTGAAGGAGCAGATCTGTATGACGCCATCGTCAAGAAAATTCAACTTTATAAGAAAGATTTCGAAGATCGCCAACAGACATCTTCGCATTCGGAGATTCCGAGTCCCTTCCAACAACTCTCTCAGAAATATGCTGGTACCTTGTCCAATTTGATAGATCTACGGGTTTGGATCTTAGATCTATTAAAATTGGTTTTTATAAGAATAGTCTCATTAATATCTTTATCAACTCTTTTACATCTTGGGTTAAGAGTAAATAAAGGCTTGAAATAGATTCTATAACATATACAGAAAACTTCTGTCCCTGCAGAATAGTTATAACCATGAGTTTTAACATTCAAAGTCAAAGCATCTAAAAGGTTAACATCTGTTAAAGATAAACTCAGGTTAGGATAAACATCAAAATAAACAGGGCCATGGGCCAAACTGGATTGGATCATTCCAATYAAGGATTGTTGCCAATTAAGATTTCTTCCATCTCTAAGAGCTGCAAGAAAACTTTCTGGTAATCCTACAAGAGTGAGCGGTTTAAACGCAATTTGGACAAGACCAATATGCAAAAACTTATGAGTTTTGAAATAAGGCATGATATCTTTTTTATTTAAAAGACGAATCATCATTTCATCCTTRTGAAGAGGAATCGAAGATTCCGTGGTTTTAACAATATGTTTTAAACCAAGCTTTTCAAAAGTGCCTATTTTATAAATGAGTTTAGGCTCAACTCTGGGAATGGTCCAATGATCAAGAAGATCAAGATGTTGAGGAATATCATATTCCTCTGTCATACTGTTATGTCTATGTCCAATTCGACGATCCTCGCAATATTCCCTATACTGAGACCAGACCTCTTTTAAGGTCTCAATCACTATCTCATGGCATTCATAGCTTTATTTCTCCTTTTGGGACTAAAGCAAGCCAGCCATCCTTAGTCCAGCCTTCTAGGGCTTCGACCTCGTATTTACGAGACACTCAAACTCATTCTTCTGAGCCAGAAGAGCATATTGAATCCTCCTCTCGGCAGCCTTTTGATGAACTTAGAGTTCATAAAAATGGTATTGTTCATAACAATCCAGTTGCTCAAGTAAGTAACAGACAACCTCATAGGGTGGTAGAGACCATGTCTGATTTTAATCTATAAGTTTTTAATGAATTTKTCTTCTTCTAGGAGTTGGGTCACTAGTGAGGGAAAGATAGATTTCACTCATGGTTCTCCTGCTAGACAGCTTGTCTGCAAAGATTACTATGGTAATCCTAAATGGGCTCTTTTTAGAACTTGGTATGTTGAAAACTTTTCAAAGGAAGAAATTGCTAATTTCTCTGCAGAATTTTATGCCTTCTGCACTATCGGTGAATGGAAGCAATTTTCACAAATTTTCAAGAAACAAGAATGTCTTTTGTTCTCGTTATCATAAAGTAGAACTTTAGATAAACCATGGATATAATCCCAATAATTAAACTTGAAATTGCATTTATGAGCGGGTGAAAACCATTCTCGCTCAGCAAGAGGGGAAAAMCCCCATTCTTCAAAAGATATAATCTTTTTGATGACAAGCTTTGAAAAATTAAAATTTCCRTTTATCTCATCTCTACTATTAGAAGAATGATGAGTAATTTCTACAGATTTTGTAGAGATAAGTAGGCCTTCATAAAATTGACGTTGCCTTAAAGAACCATGAACAAAAGATGTCTTATGAAGATATCTTTGTAAAATAAAATCAGGATTATCTTTCCATTGAAGATCTTTGTCTTCAAGAAGAAGTATAACTTCTTTTTCACCAGTTTCATGGAACTGCGAGTTGGAAGAGTCTTCCTTGCTAATATTAGCAAAAGAATTTGAAGCTGCCAAAGATTCTTTGGCTTTTTTCTCCTTAATATAATTAAGGTATGCCTCTGCTAGAGGATGGTCTTCTGGGATATCACCCAAGAGAAACCTGGAGTCTCTTTTTCCTTATCATGTGATAAGTCTGAAGCTATAAGCTTTTGTTTACCCATCTGGGCAATTACATTATTTCCTCTTCCCCTATTAGAGGAATGTCTGCCACCTCGGCCTCTTCCATGGGAAGAGCTGCCTCCTCCTCTATAAGAGGAGTAAGAGCTGTATGAGCTCATGCACAGCACATCAGGTTGAGATACAAGGTACCTGAAATTCAAGAAAGATATTCACGAGTTAAGAAATCAGGCAAGTGATTATCTTTGCCTTTTATATGCTGAATATTAAAATCAAAAGGAGCAAGATGAGCTTGCCATCTGGCAAACATCTGCTTAGAAACGTCATGCTTAAAATCTTTTTTAAACATAAATTGAGCAGAGCTACAATCAGTTTTTATTAAAAACTTTTGATTATATAAATCATCTTGAAATTTAAGAACACATTTGACAATAGCAAAATGTTCTTTAACTACAGCAGAATAGTTAAGCTGGGCTTTTTTCCATTTGCCAGAATAAAAACGAATAAGAAATTCTTGCTTAGAAATGGGATCAATTTGTTTAAGAATACCTCCATATCCTAAGTTAGAGGCATCAGTCTCAACAATCTTGTTCCAAAGGGGATTTGGAAGCATGAGACAGGGGAGGTTTTTAACATTTTTCTTAATTTCTTGTACTGCTAAAGTATGACTATCAGTCCAAGAACAAGATTTTTTCTTAAGTCTATCATAAAGAAGAGAAGTATATTGACTTAAATCTTGAATGTAAGCAGAAATATAATTCAGGCTTCCTAAAAATCGTTGYAATTGAGTCTTATCAAGAATTTGRTCRGGAAATTTATCMCCAAAGGCAATACTGCGTTGGATAGGAATAATCGTTCCTTTTTCAATATCATGACCAAGAAATCTTATCTTGGTTTGAAATAAAGACATTTTAGGTTTAGATATGACTAAGCCATTTTGGATAACAAGAGTCTTGAAAATATTAAGATGCTTAAAATGACTCTCAATATCTTTAGAGAAAACTAAAATGTCATCTATGTAAACAATAATAAAATTACTGTATGGATAAAAGATGTCATTCATAATCTGTTGAAATTCAGAGGGAGCATTTTTAAGCCCGAAGGGCATAACCTTCCATTCATAATGTCCCATAGGAACATTAAAAGCTGTTTTGTAAATATCATTTTCGGCTATCTGAATCTGCCACATATTATAAATATGCTTATCAGCAAACCCATCAAGGTTCCATTCATAAATACATTTACCATTATAACTATTATTAATAATATACTCCTGTTCTTCATGAAGAACATCCAAAGGACTAGGGCGATTATAATAATATTTGTTAAGATTCGGAGTCTTTCATTTTATGAATTTGGTTATTATGTAAACCGTCATCCGAATTGTCTAACCTAGAGTTAGAAAAGAGATCCTTATTAAGCATGGAAATGGAAGGATTAGAAATATGCAAATGTGAAAGCTTTAGATCAAGCTGTTTCATAAAATCTTCAGCTGGAGATTTGAGTTTGAAATCAGTGATTTCAGGAGGAGGTTGTATAGTATTAGAAGTTAAAACAACTGTCTCAGAAGAGGAGGAAATATCATCAGCAGGAAG